GAGCGAGGCGTCCTGGAAGGCCACCAAACAACAAGTCCCTTCTAGCTCCTTCTGTCTGCCAGATGGGCTGTAGGGCCCAGAGCGTGGGGGTGCAGGGTGGGGGTCAGCTCCCTGCCTTGGGGCAACCACAGGGAATGGATCCAAGTTCAGGCTTCCCCAAAGAGCAGATGGAAGGAACGGAGAGGCCAGGAAGAACTTGCAGGCCTCTTAAACTCACACCTCCGAGGCAACCTGATGGCACCATTGCCAAGAATGGGGGTGGAGGGGGTAAGGTGACAGAGTGAGAGAGGTGCTCTGGGAACCGGGATAAAGCAGAGTGGGCCAGAGAGGACACGGGAGTCAGGACACCGAGCTATTCCCTGCCTCTGATATTCCTAATGCAGATTCGCCAGCCCTGGACACCCGCTTCACCCTGTACCCAGCCTTGGCTCACCTCTAGAGGGAGCACACACAAGCTCAGGGCCCACGTTGCACTTGAAGGTTCCAAAAACCAGACAATTATAATATGGATTTGATTTGAAAACAAAACTCGGCCTTCTTTTCGATCTTGGGGACCACACTGGGCCTGGGTCTGGCCACTCTGATCACACCTTCAAAAGAACCCTGCCTCAGTCCTTTCCTGCCTCAGTCCTTTCCTGACCCAGAGCAGGTAAGCCTCCGGGTCCACCTGCGCGCTCAGGGCAAGTCTAAGGCCAGCGCGCCCTCTTGTGGTGATGGGGGGGGTGCGTGTGACTTTAACCTGAGCCCTGCTACCACCAAGACTGGAGAGATTTCCCCCGCGGTCCCGAGGAGAGTGCCCATCCGTGGCTGGGGCAATTTCAGGTGAATTGCCCCCATTCCAGACAAGGTGGAGATACTGAATTTGGTTTCAATGTGATGTTGGGGCTTTGGTCCGTGCTCCCCACCAAAGGCCGGACTTTCCCGTGGAACCCCAGTTGGAGTCAGCCGGCCTTAGCCCAATCAGTTGTAGTGACAGGAGTCCCTGGTCTCGTCCGGTGGCCGTCCTGTTTCTGGGCAGCTCTGCTGGCTAAAATGTCCTACCTCCCATACTGCCCTCTGGAGCTGCTGAGCTATGTGTAATCCTACGCGCCGACGCATAGAAGGTCAGTGGCCATTCGCCCATTCATCCGTTCAGAGTACGTATTGAGTACACACTGGAGCTGTGGGTTAAGCTAGGAGCTGGAAATGTAATGGAGACCAGACACTGTCCCCGTCCTCAGGAAGCTCAGCCTGGTGATGCGTGTGGAGCAGGGAACAGGCAAGTCCCTCCTACCGGAGCACATGCTCTCACAGAAAAATGGAGGGTGCGACGGGGGTCTGCTGCGGGGCATGACCTACCGGACTCTGGGGGCTGGGCACCAGGAAAAGCTTCTTGGAGGAACAGAGATCGGAGCTGGGACCTCCAGCAAAGAGGAAGGAAGTGGGAACAGGAGGAAGCAGCACACGGAGAGCAAACAGTAGCATTCCCCAGGAGGGTGCATGGGACGTTGCAGTCCCCAGGAGGGTGCATGGGACGTTGGAGTCCCCAGGAGGGTGCATGGGACATTGGAGTCCCTCAAGCAGAACAGGCTGGCCAGATCACAGAGCATAAGAGGTAGAGAAACACAAGTGAGGGGGGCACCTGGGTGGCTCAGTTGGTTGACCGTTGGACATCTGCTCCGGTCATGATCTTGCAGGTCATGGGTTTGAGTCCCACATCGGGTTCACTGCTGTCAGCACAGAGCCTCGCTTTGGATCCTCTGTCCCCACCGCACCCCGACCCCTGTCCCTCTCCTGCTCATGCTTGCTCACTCTCAAAAATAAACATTAAAAATTTAAAAAAAAAAATACTCTCAGGGCTGATGGGAAGAAGGCAGGAGAGAGAAGCTGAAGAGAGCGAGGGGATAGTGTCTCCTAAGAGAAGGGGGAAGGGCCGGGATTCAGAGCCCTGGGGTTGGTCGGGCGGGGGCACCTCCCCCACCATCAAGGCAGGAGGGGATCCGGAGAGGCATGTGGGCGTGTGGGCCGGGTAGACACGTGGCATCTGTTTCTGCTTCCCCTGGTGTAGGGGAGGGGGGTGCCATGAGCGTAGTGTCACTTCATCCTGCCTGTCACTGCTGAAGAGTCAGGACGCTGCCTCAGCAGGACACACAGCCAGAACCCGGGCCCAGGCGGTGAGATGGCCACCACAGGGGATGTGGATACCACACCGAGGTAGCTTGTGACCCGCCTTCTTTCCCTCGCTGGACTTGAAGCCCCCCTGTGAGGTCGGGATATTCTCCAAGGAGAAGGTGCGCATGGAGTCCCTGTCGTGCGAGCCTGTGTTTTCCAGCCCACTTTTGCCTTCTTCCTTCCCACTCTCCATTCCTCTGGGGCCCCAGCAGGGGCAGGAAAACAGAATCGACTCAACACGGAGTGCCTTTAATGAAAGTATGGCTTATTTACAGAGGTGGGAGCGGGATTAAGGGAACCAGAGGGCCAGTGACACCAAGAGGCTAGGGCGGAAGTGGCAGGAAGAGGAAATAGTGGTCTAGGGGCCCGAGGAGGTCTGGTGCTTGGAGAAAGGAAGCCAATGCAGAGGTGTGGTCTGGAAGCAACAAGGGGTGGGGATAGATGCCTGGAATTCTCTCTCATCCTGCCCTCTGATCTCTGGTGCTCCTCACTGGCCGAGCCAGAGGTGAAGGAACCCAGGCGAGGCCGATCCACAGGTTGGTATCCTGGGGCACAGAGCAGGGCAGAGGAGGGTAGAGAGGAAATGGGGTGGGGGCAGGGGAGGGAAACAGGAACAACCAGCCGTTACCTGGCTACAGTCACCAGTTGATGTCTGAGAGTAATCCCTAGAATGCTTTACTGTTTCTCAAGGTCAAAATGGCAAACACCATATCATGATATCCAGCAACAGCAGGTGCGATGGTTAATTTTATGTGTCAGGTCGGCTAGGTGTTACGGTGCCTGGTCTAACACTAGGCCAGATGCTGCTGTGATGGTATTATTGTAGATGTGATTAACCTCTACAATCAACTGGCTTTAGAGATTACCCTTGATAATGTGGGTGGGCCTCATCCAATCAGGTGCAGGTCTTAAGAGCAAACACTGAGGTTTCCAGAAGAAGCAATTCTGCTTCAAGACTGTAACAGAAATCCCGTCTGAATTTCCGGACAGGTGACTCGCCGTACAGATTTCAGACTCGAGACTGCAACATCATCTTTTGCCTAAGCTGCCTGCCGCCAGCATTTTGGATTTTGCCGGACCCCACAATCACATGAGCTCATTCCTTACTAGAAATCGCTCTCTCTCTCTCTCTCTCTCTGTATCCCATTGGCTCTCTTTCTCTGAAGAACCCCGCCCGATGCAGCAGGAATGTGGGGAAAAGGGCCTTTCATACACCTGCTGGTGAGGGTGCAAATTTGGACAACTGCATCTGGAGGGCCATCTGGCAGCCTCGACCAAACACTGGGCTTTGTGGTGCTCCATTTTTACCATTTCTGTACAGCATGGCTTGTAAGAGCAAGTCGTGGACAATTCAATTGTCCACCAGTCGCCCAACACCTAACGATCCGAGGTAGAACGCCAGCCAGCAGTTACCCACTGATTGCCGGGTCAGGAAGCCCTTAGAGAGGGCCACCTCCTAGCAGATGAGGAGCTGGGGGCTTGCAACGGGGGTGACCCACCCCAGAATGCACAGAGCTGGGACTAGGCCGGTACCCACCTTCCCCCCAGGTAGGCGTGGTCACCCTCAACCTTTGCTTCTCGGGAGCGGTCCTGGCCCCCGCTTTTTGCCAGACTTCTCCGTGGCTCCACCCACCACATCTAAGGTTCGGCGAAGACAAGACTTCCCTTGACTAAGACTGCAGGGAGAGGAACCCGAAGTAAACCCACAGAAAACCCAGCAAGACCCAGTCCAGGCTGGGGTCACCCTGCCAGGGGGAACCTGACACAGTGTTCCTCGTCTCTGGCTTGAAGAGGCTCCACCAAGGCCTAGGCTCCTGGCCTCCCACCCAGGGCCTTG